ATACGGGCAAATTACGAATTTTTAATCACACGTCGCGTTTGTTATATAAGCGGGAATACAAGCTCCCCACCAAAACCCAAAAGAAAAAAATATGTAACATACGAAAAAGCGAACAGAAATCAAATAAAATAAATATGCAAAGCGTCGTCTCGCTGTCCCCCCCCCTGACGCCAGCCCCTTTCTCACCCATATTCCCCTATTTTGAGTAGGTCGTCTATGCACAGACACGCAACTACACCGGGAGAACAGGATTTAAATTACATTTGAAATATGCGAACTCATTTTATACATATATTCTTCTAAATACACCAGCTTTTATTATATTTTTAATCCCCTTTTTATAAGAACGAGTATTTTTTCTCTAACATTTCCAAACTGAGTTCCGTATTATTTATAATCCAACGCAAAAGAGGAAGTAAAAAATTAAAGACTACACACATACTTAGTTGAGGTTTTCTCCATGTGCAAAAACGAGTAGGAAATGTGTGGAAATGTAAAAGGCAAATGAAACTAACTGGGGAAGGCAAGGGCGGAAGGGTGTGTGTCTGTGTCTATGTGTGTGCCAACGAGAGACAGGACAGCCAGGACAGGCTGGCATTTCCTACAAAACGCCGAGCAGCATTTTGTCCAGTCACGAAAAGTTTGGTCTAGGGCGAAATAAAAAAAAAACAAGAAGGAAATAAAAAACAAAAAGGAGCAGGATATAGACACACGTACCCACGGCCGAATGGCGGGAGTTCAGTTCAGGTTAGCAAAGAAGCACTCGAGTCGACAAAGTCTCAAGTTGAATGAAGAACTCACGCAACTTGGCCAGCAAACACACGCACACAGATACAAGCTACAGGCAAGGAGGAGGTCCTGCTAACATGTTTTGCCGGGCAGGAATTCTAGTTGTTTTCCTTGATGTCGTTTGCCATGCTTATGATGTTACTGGGACTACAAAATTGGTGCATTTGAAAATTGAAATTTATGATGGGAATAAATAATCATAAATACGAGGACATCGAGACGCTGACAGTGGGGATCATACAGGTAACATGTCCTGACCTGGCGGAAGGAATTACCAGGCGATATATCTCTATTATGAATCAATTGAACCAAGGCCCGTCATTCGTCTGTTTTTAGCCTTTAAGTCTGAGGGGGAGAGAGTGTGGAGCAGCCATCATTAATTTTCCCATAAATCTTCTTTTGGAATATTTCACATAATTCGGCTTGCCAAACTGCAGCTCATAAGCCCCCTTAATTATTGTGTCAGCTAACTGAAAGTTAATAAACCACCCATTGTCATGAAAATAAAAACCAAAAATAAACTGCCAGACCAAATGGGGCCGGAGGCAAAATCAATAATAAATACATAAACAGGCCAAACAATGGGGCCAAAAAGAGAGAGAGAGACACACACAGTGAAGACAATACCGCGATGAGCACCAGAATACTCTACAATATAAGTCGAAAAATAAAAGAATTTCTCTATAATAAAAGACTAAAATTTGTTCTGTTCTTGTATACTCTTAATTTAAGATAAATCCTAATATTTTTGGTTAAATTTAAATGAAAACCTCTACCTTTAATTCTATATTATTCCTTTAGAGGATCCTTTAAAATAAGTATACAAATTATCTCTTAAAATTAGGGAAACCCCGCATTGCGATAAATTAATCAGCATTTTATCAGAGTCATCATAATCGCTGAATTGCGTGGGATAGCGCTCAGACCAGACCCGCCACAAATAAGGATAATAAGCCAGCAATTAGTGTCACCGATAGACTTGCTGAAGCCTCAAAGCAAAACATGGCCTAAAGCCAAAGGCAAGAAACCCATTTAAAGCAATTTTCCCGGGGTTTGGGCGTACGGAGAGCAACGAAAAAAAGGTTAAGCGAGGCACTCGCACAGACGCAAATCTATTATCCTTCATCCCTTTTAGCTTTCACGGCAGAAATTGAAAAAAAAGAAATGAAATAGAAATAGAAAAAAAACGAGTAGAAGGGGGAAAGGCACAAAAGTTGCAAGGACAAATCGCAATTCCAGTTTTATGAATATTTTTCTATTTGCCTATGGAAAACTACTGAATGGTGCTCGCTTTATCAAGACCTCCTTTTGGGGCGCCAAGTCCTGCAATCAAATTCAATGGCTGGGAGGTGGAGGAAACTTTCTTAATACAAGATACTTAAAGGACTCGCACAGAAAGACAGAACGACGACGGAGTCCCACATTCAATTGCCACCTCGGTGGCAGAAGGATATTCCATTTACAATGTGTGCGCCGAGGCGGGGCCGTGCGTCCTGGCAAACTCAAACCAAAAGTCTTAAGTGAATTAAGAGGAAAACTTGCCACATTTCTAAGGACATCCCCCAACCATACTGTGCGTCCTCCATCAAGGTTAGCCCACTTAATGAGGTCTTGAAGTGTTCAAGTTTGAGTTTGCTAAATACCTACATATAAAAACGAGAGCCCGAACAAAAAAAGGATTATTTGATATGGCAGCCCCGCCTCCCTCTTAACGATTTCCTCCCAAGACTGACTGACTGGACACCTGTGCGTGGCCCACCTTCCTTTTCCTCCTCGAGGAGGCTCCTAAAGCCAGGATTGATTGTTATGCCACCGAAAACTAAACGCAGGAAGGGCTCGGCTCGACTGGGTTTGCTTTAGTTTTGGTTTTGGTTTGGGCCACTTAATGATTGCCAACCACACCAAAAAAAAAGGAGAAAAACTGCGGATATAGGTGCCTTTGGGGAATGTCGACCGAGGGGGTGTTGCCCACACCTTGACATAGCATAAAACAATTATTGGAATTTCTTTCTCTCACCTTCGCGGTCGATTGCGTAGTAGGGTTGGGCCATGGGCTCTGTTTATGATGGCCGTAATTAAAGTTGCGGCACCGGAAGGAGTCGCGTAACCTCAAATCGATACCAGATGTATCAGCAATAAACTTGTTATGGATATACAACTTAAGTAAAGACTTTAATAGGAGTTTTAGGTATTTAATTACGGCAGTTTAGGGAGAACTAAGCTATACATATTTTATTCAAGTATAAATTTTCTATGACTTTTTAAAAGAATTTACAAAAAAACACTAATAAATAATAGAAGAAGTAAGGAATATAAACTTTTAGAGTCGTGACACTTTTTCCCTAAACTATAATTAAAAAAATTCATTATAAACATTATTAAACTGGCCTGGATCAATTAAGCTTTGACGTTTTTAAATACAGTTTTTAAAACTATAATGTATTATAAATTTTTCTTAATATTTATTTATTTATCTGCTTAATAGCTTTCTTTTTTCCAGTAAATCGCCATTATCTCACTTAAAAACCCAACCCACCTTGACCCATAATTTTAGCGCTTCTTATCGTCTCCCCAACTATGACCATTATTAACGACAGTGTCAACAAAAAAATTCGAGTGAGATATTAATAACCTAAAAAACACATTCGTGGTTGACACTTGCCGGGGGGAACATGGGCTGAGTAATAACTATTTAATGAGTTTGTGTCACAGCTCGGCGCTGTAAGGCTGAGCAAAGCCACTTGGCCATGAACCAACACACAACCAAGTGAGTGCCAACTGCCGTCATCGGGAGAACATTTCCATCCACACTGACGGCATTTAATTAAAATTTGCGCCTAATTAATTGCCGAAAAGCGGAAGCGCACAGCCTGGCAGGACATTGGGAGCGAGCGGGCGAGCTAGCTAGCGAGACAATGCGGCGTATGAGTGATATTTGCCTATTTAGCACGTGCCGCTGTTTGATTGGCGCTCAGCGTTCACTAATTGAAAATGAAAATTTGATTTTTGGCATTTCAGTGGTCGACCGAGTTTAATTTTTCCGTTTGCATGATTGATTTTAACGGCAGAAATTTTACAAATTATGCATGAATTATTATTATTATTATTCCGCCGCCTCTCTGGGTCGCCGAAAAGTATGCAGCATTCTTGTTGCTGGCCGCTTAATTTTTCGGCACGCTGCCATCGTTTTTGCTTTGCATAATTGATGGCTGAGCTTTTAATTGAAACTGAGTTGTGGTTATTACGAGTGTAAGTGGAAAGTCGAACTAGGGGGCGGTTCGCGTAAAAATTTATGCAAATTAAGACTGCACCGAGGGCGGTTGCAATTAAAGGCAAAATTGCAGCGTGAAGAGCAGAGAAAAAGAATAAAAGTGCTGTAATTGAAGAGCGTTTGAAGGGTGCGAATGGCGAACGCTGCTTGAGATAGGGAAGAACTGAGGCGTGTCCTTGAAGGCAAGAATGGCTTTCGGGGAAGGATTTCATAGTCAATTGGAGGAGAGGTGCCTTAATTATTTGGAGAAACCAGACTGAAAACTAGTGGCAAAGATTGAAATGGGAGGTAGGAGGAGGAGTTACCTTTTAGCAATGAAAAAATTATAAGTGCATTTTAAGTAACATCAAATTGTCTTAATTAATTTGAAATTAAATTTATCTTTGCTTTACAATGTGAAACATCTGTAGCACCATAAGTTCCTGTTTCTTTTCATGTTTAAATATTTTTAAAGACAACAGGCTTTTCAAGTATTCAAAAATTTATAACATTTCCCAAGAATTCACTATATATTTTTGTAAATATAAGCAAACTATATTTTAAAGAAGGAATATAAACCAACAAAACTGGAAAACTTGTTGCAAATATGAGCTAAACATTAAGCAAAGCAGGTTTAAAATGATTAATTCTCCCTAAAATCATGTTCCCCTTGCTGGATTTTAATTAAAAATTACAAAAATGTTATTCTTATTTATAAATTCGCGTATTCTCTTCAATATATGTGATATTAAGGGTCAAAAATGAACTGCGAAACATATCCATTCTACTTCTCTGGTGACATATTCACAACTTTTTCGCAAAGCAAACACATCCAAACTTATCGCCCCATTCAAAACTCTAAACACAATGATTTATTATGCGAGCATCACAAGTCCTTTCACTGCTTTCTACATATTTGAGCCTTATCTGTGTGTGTTCACTTTTCGGGTTGCATGCTCACCTGTTTGGAATTCTAAGGATACATTAAAACTGCCGTTGCTGGGGCCTCTCTGTCTCTCTGCCTGTGTGTGTGTGTGTTGTTGGTGGTGGCGGAGTCCGTGTCCAGTGTTTGCTGGAGGCTCCTATTGAATTGATTGCGACAGGACCGGACGCTCGTCCTGTCCGCAACACAGTTGTCCCGCTGCCGCGCTTCCTGCGCCAATCAGCTGATGCTGATGCTGCTACTGACGCTCCCGCTGCTGCTGCTGCTGCTGGTGCTGCTGCTAGTGTTGCTGCTACTGCTTGTGGCATGCAAAAAGTTTTCCCTTTGAGTTTTTCCCAGCGCCGTTGTCCACTCGTCCGTCCGTCCGTCCGTCTGTCACTTTATGCGCTTCCTGCCTCTCGATGCCGCCACGTTGTGGCGAGAGTGAAAGTATTTCCTCCTTTGTTGTACTTTATCGTGGTGAGTTCGCGAACAGGGCGCTCTCCTCTCTCTCTCTCTCGGGCCAAGCTCGCTCTCTCTCTTAGAAGAGAGCTAAGCCCATTTTCTGGTTGAGTAAATTTTTGAAATATATTTTGCTTGAGATTCTGCAGAGTAATTCCAACACTTTTTAATTCGTATTATTTATCCGAATACATAAGTATATTTTTTATATTTTTTTTTATTTGCAGGGAATTTTCGGATAGAGCTGGGTATTACGGGGGAGCTCTATTAGTTTCTGTTCTCTGTACGAATTTATATCGCGACTGATTCCGAATTTCGGACTGGCGACTCCGAATAACGCGCTGTCGTACGTGGCGTTGGATTTGACGTTTTGTGTAATTTAACCTTCTGCCCTACTCTTCTCGAATGCGTCATCGGGAATCGCGTAGAGTTGCGAGTTCTCGCGGAGTCGCTTATATTTATTTGCTTAATATTTTATTTGGCACCCACACTAGCACACTGGCACACTACACGCACACAAGCGCGCACGCACGCACATTTTGTTGCACATGTTTTTATTATTTTCGGTTTATTAACCATACGCCATGTTGTACGCGAGCCCAGAAGTGCCTCGGGCCTCGAACAGCGAGTCGAGAGCCTTGGCCAGAAGCCTTCAAGGTTATTATTTCCTTGGTGTTTTCCTCAAAAAGTTTCCCCGTTCTTGCCTCTTTTCTTCTTAAATTTTTCTGTTTTATTTTTCTCTGCGACCAATTTAATGAAGAGGACTTCTCTGAGGCCCTATTTCGGCCTGGTCTTGGCTGTATCTACAGACCCCGTGCATATTGCCCAAAAAAAAAAAATGAAAACGAAGAAACAGAATGTTGGAGGAGGAAAATCGTTTCACACATTACACACAACAACATGGAAGAGCCAGAGTGGCCCTGTCTCTCTCCTTCTTGCGCCTTAGGCTGCCCATAATTGGCGTTTTTCTTTAACTGGCATTTTTGAAACACTTTTCCTGTTGGTTACTTTCGTTTAGTTTGGTCGGATTACTCGGCAGGGGGCCTCTGCGCTTATTTTAATGATTATCTCTTTGTTTTCCACGAAGCGCGATTTGGGCTGCGATTTTTTAGTAGTTTCTCCTCCCTCGCTCCCTGCTTCTGTATTTTTCTATTATTTTTCAGCGGAGCTCCGCGTCCTGACCGTTTGGCTCCACCTCCGACTACTTTGTGGGCTTCGCTTTCGCAGAGGCCTCGGCCCAAAAGCTTTCCCCGATTTTGTAGGCTTCCACGCAGCCAGAGAGAGGGATAGAGATTGAGAGCGAGCGAGCGAGCGCGAAGGCGAGAGAGGAATCCCCGCCGAGACTGACTGGCGACGTCCTGGCGAGCTCCGCACTCTCTGCCTCTCTGGGACTACATTTTGAGAAATAATCATTATTAAATTTATGAAATAAATTAGAACGAAACCTTTAATATGTTCGTAATTTAAACTTTATTGAATTTGTATTTTATGGAAACCTAAAAATTCTGTAAAACTTTCGCAGCTATTTTTTTAATTAAGACTAAAAGGTTCATTCTAAACTTGTAATATTTCTTGTGTGAGATAAATCAGATAAATTAAAAGTTCAAAATTATAAAAATAATATTCTGATTATCAAATTGTTTAAATTCCCCCAAATTAGCTAATTAGTTTGTGAAATAATTAATACTTTCACCTTTTCTCCCAGTGCCACTCTCTCTGATTCCGTGTCCTAGGTTTCTCTTGTTGGTTTTGCACTCAAAGTTTGCGTTGTTTGGATTTTGTTATTTTAATGTTCACTGAGCAGTCCCTGAGCAGGTGGATGAGCGGGGCGAATCGGGGAGAGAGAGGAGCTTGAGGGGCTGTATTCTCAGTCTCGTTTCCCGTGTGCTTTTTGAGGATTTCTTTCGTGTAATTGTTTTCGTTACGTTTGTTACGTTTGTTATGGGCACCAGGTCCACATGCACCTAAAATGTAGACGTAATTGTGCACTTGGAAAATTTTTAGATTCAAGAGATACAATTTCCCCTCGGAAAATATTAAATACTTATTCATTTTTAGAGAAATCGTGGGAGTGTGACTATTAATCGTAGTTTGTAAAAAATGTTGTAGCTTAAATTGTTAATTGTTTTAGCTTTACATTGTAACTTTATTATTTAGGCACATATTTATATATTTTATAATATCAGCTTTAATAAATAGATTTTAATTTATGCTAATAAGTATTAAGAAAATTACTAAAATTTTAGTAACCTTGAAAATACCAACATTGTATTTTTTATGATTATCACCTTATCTTTAAATCTAAGAAAATATTTAAACAAGATAATTCCGAAATACAATTGCTTTGTTTCCAATGGATAAATGAGGCTTTCGCCCAATTAAGTATCTGGGTGTAGCCATAAAAGCCATCCAACAAAACCCGCGCCCATCAAAAGCCTCCCCTGAAACCCCGCTTCCCGCTCTCTCCAGAATTCCGCCCTTATTCCCTATCTGCTCAGACGCTTCTTCCCCACTCTTCCCATTTTCCCAAAGAGAGAGAGGCAGCTGGCAGCAAAAGCAACTCACTCAATAGTCCGAAAAGCAAAAAGAAGCCCATCCGCTGGGACCCAAAAAGGACCAGGTAACGGTTGCAGAAAAGCTCGCTCTCTCTCGGAGTCCGCTCTTGTGTTATCTCTCTCTCTCTCTCTCCCACGCAGGAACTCAACACATCTGGCAAAGGAAACGTCAAAAACGTGTGACAGCAGCAGCTCTGCGGAGAAGAAGAAGCTGGAAACGCCAAGTTTATCAGGTAGCAGAGGTCCTTTATTTTCGCTCTCTCTCTCTCTCGCTATCTCTCTGGGGAAGCTGTGCCTAAGCCTGTGTGGGAGATGTCGAGAGCATAGAGGAGTGTTGGTGTGAGTGAGGGCACGACACGTTGTTGCATTCTCGCCTGCCCAAGGAAAAGCGCTCAAAAGAAGGCAACTGAAAATAACGGCTTGATTGCTCTACAGCTTGATGTTTTTATAAGCTTGCAAGAGGATCCCCGATCTACAATCTTTAATATTTATAGATAATCGGAAAATTAAATAAAATAAAATAATTGTAAGTTTTAAATTCTAACAGGAATTACTAGGAATCAAAATCCTAGTGATTCTTCTGACTGAATGCATTGATATGGTATCCAAAACTAAGCTAGACAAAAAATAATATACTTTTTGTAGCAGAAATTTCTATTTATTTAGACATATTAATGCCTAGGGTATTTAGGAGACCGTTCATTATTTTTTCCTGAATTTTCCTTTCATATTTTTTCATTGTGTGGCTGCTTTTTGGTTCGAAGGTTCCGCGTGGTGTCGATGAAAATGTACACGTGCTTTGTACGCTGGTATGCTGTTTGGTCGAGGGAATCGTTAAGGACGAGGGTGTAGTCCTGGGAGGGGAGAGTGGCGGTTGGGTTGGGCGGTTTTGAAGAAGGCCACACAAGACTGTCGTCACGATACTAGTGGGCACCCTCCCTTTTGCTGGCACTTCCTTTGAGAACTTTCTAATTGAATTTCTTGTTTTGACCTGCAGTTGTGACCCTGTCTTATCAATTTCACTCGTATGTATGTATGCATGTATCTGGGTGGATGTGTGTGTGTGTGTTTGTGGGTGGAATTATGTCATTCTGGCTGCGTCATTGTGTCTGCTTGAGGTTATTGATTATTCCTTGACGATTATGACGAAATGAGTTTGTACGCTAAAAACTACTTTCACCTTCTACTTTTCCCCCGCCATCGGTACTATACACAGAGAAAAATCTGTGTTTAATTGCGATATAATCGTAATAAAATGTATTTTTAAACCTACTATGAATATCTAAGAGTCCCCAGAAATCATTAGGGGCCTTAAGACTCTTAATTATATGTCTAAACAGATGCAATATATTTTAGAAGGTATTAAACTCAGTGTAAATATTTTTTGTACATTTTTCAAATTTTTACCATAATTTTAAATACATTTTTAAAGCTTTTAATATAAAAATCCCTTTATATAAAATATCCTGTTAACTGTTATTGTTATTGTTTTGCTCTGTGTGTGCTCTTGACTTGCACAACTATGACGTCATTGTTAACCCCGGAGCTTTCACTACAAACTACAACATAGAATCCTCTACAACCGCTTCGCCCCCTTTGTCAGCACTCGACTTTGATGTAGCCAGCCAACCACCCACCCACCAACTTTCCAGCCCCCCACTTGGAGCAGCCTCAGCGTCAGCGTCAACGTCAAGTCAACTCATTTCCATTTCCATTTGATGCCTGATGCGGATTTTCTCCGTTTTGCCCTAACTACATAGTTTGGAAAAGTTTGTTTTTCGAGAGCTTTTCAAGTCTCTGCGCCCTCTTCCTCGTCTCAACTTGTTTTTTGGCTCTTTGTGGCTTTTATTATTGCGGCCCGAGATTTATTTTTTGTCATTGAAGTGATCTAATTAAAGTTTGTGTGGGCCGAAAAATTATAAGCTTCGCTGCTGCCGGGGTTAAAAGGATAACGAAATTTGTTTTCAGCGAAAGTTTTGGGGAAGGGTCACACGCTTGTCGGAGGTGCAACTTGTTTTCGCTTTCGTTTCCAACAGCCAAAAAGTTGTTAAAAAGCCAAAAAAGTAATTTATTTCAGTTTTACTGCCTTCATCTCGTTTTGTGTCCCTTTAGAGTGTATGTGTGTGTCGCCAGCCTGCAAATGTAATGAGATGTTTTGACCCGCTAACTTGGTCCTTTCTTCTAACCCCTTCCTTTTCAGCCTTGCGGATGCTGATTTGGCTTGAAGCCTTGGCCAAGTTCTCTCTTGGCATCGGCTGCTTGATAATCAGATTTTTCCACTGTCCCTTCGCGCTTCGCTTCGAAATGGGTTAAACTTTTGCCGCCGACTTGTTGGGGGTCAAGTTTCGACATGGCCCTAGCCGGGCTAATCAAAGTTGGGAATCAGTTTCGCTGGATTACTAATATGTATAATGGAATGCCTTGGCTTGGGGAAGATCGGGCCACAGAGATTTATTTGGGATTTTACAAATCCAATCAGAAATGGAAACACTAGAGATTTCTAATAATTGATAGGGAGTTTAGAAATGATAGGTAACTTTGTGAGCAATTTTATATATTGTTTAACCTGATTTGTATAGCCTTGCAGGGTATTATAATTTTAATACAACGTTAGTGTCTTTTTAAATTTATATTCTAGTTTATACTTACTTTTGTTTCTTAATTTTTAAATAAAAAAATATTCTTAAATTGAAAAAGAACAAATATGTAAATCAAAAAACATTTTTATATTGATCATATTGATTTCTGACAATAATTTATCAAATAAAACACATTTCACTTTCTTTAGTTACAATTTATTTGCAGAAGAACACAAACTATCGCAATTTCATTTATTTATTTACAATATCAATCTGTTTTTCTTCGTTTCTTACTTCAGTTTAGCATATTTAGTATGTATAAATCTAAGCAGATCCTTAATATAGACCGTAAATGTATAATTGTTTCATTCTCTCGTTACTTTTCAGTATAGATTACTTACAAAAACTCAAATACAATATTTCTTAACCGGCTAAAGTTATCGATAAAACATTATCTGCTTTTGTGCACTCATCGGACTTATCGTTAATTGTATATTTTGTATTTTGTATTTTTAATACACGTACAGTGGGTAAAAACATGTATACAAATACGCTATGTAGTTTGTGTGTGTTTGGAAAATCCTCAAAGTAATGTTCAGATATAACTTAATATCTGTTCCAAGATTCAAAATTATTGTACCACATTTAGAATATCAATGGTTGTGTATACATATAATATGTACATATACATAAATATATAGTATCTTGAGTGTGTAAATATCAGCAAATATTCCAGTAGAGTCTCTATATAATATATATGTTTTGGGTTGGTTTTCCGCTCTAGGTCTGGGAGAAATCAGAGATTACAATAATTACTAATTGACGGGGTTGAAATCGAAAGCCATTTATCGAAATAATCGGTATCGCTAATCGAATTGATTTCATCTGCTCTCCTTTCTCCTCCTTGAATAAATAACTTAACTAAGGTAGAATATCCAGTTTTTGTCATGGACGAGTCGAGCTCTAGCTATGTACAATCACTAATCCCCCTTCCTCACTCCTCGCCCTCGTATCCCAGACACCACAGTTGGGACAAGGGCACGGCTGTGGACTAGCTGCCCGCCACGCCCTCTTCCTTGCGCGGCCTCAGGATAAAGTTGAGGTTGTAGTTCGTGTTGACCGCGTAGTAGACATTCGCATTCTTGGGCATGACCAGCTCCTTGTCGGGCAGCACCTGCGCCAGGGTGAACCTGTCCGGATCGTCCTCAAGGCCCAGCTTCAGCATAGCATTGCGTATTACCTGCGGCGTCCGCTCGTTGTTGCCTAGCATTATGCTCTTGTACAGCACAATTCCGTCCAGCTCGATGTTGTCCGTTTCGTAGGTGACCCGGATGATGTAGAAATCTGGCGCGGATTGCGGAGTACCGCCTGAGGGCTGCACCAGCTGGGCGTTGATGTGCGGCGAGCCGCCATTCGTGGTGGTGCCATTCCCGTGGGACTTTAAGCCGTTGCCCATGGACTGCGAGTGTGTCAACTTACCAGACTGCCGACCGCCGGAGTTGCTGGAGTCCAGCGACAGATTGGATACACTGCTCGAGGCGGACATAAGGGAGGCATGCTGGTGATGGGCATCCCGATCAAGGGAGTTGTGCCTGGAGCTAGTGCTGCTGTTCAGCTCGCAGTAGAACTGTGATCCTGCTCCGCTGCTCGAGTTGGAGTGTATGGAGTCAGTCTTCCGGTGGCCCATAATCGAGGCCGTCGACGAGTTGGTGGTATTGGTGAGCGATGTATTCGTGCTGACCACCGATTTCCGTGGAGCTGGCGGCGGCGGTTCCAGCCTGCAGCTCAGTTCAAAGGCTTCGCGTTCATCGAAGACCGGCATCGAGTTGAACCAGTGATCGAAGAGGGCATCCGCCTGGAGATTATAAGTGTTGGCCGCGCCCTGGAGGAGCTTGATTTGCGCCAGAACCTCGAACTCCTTGCGTTTTTTGTCAAAGTTGATCAACTTGTCCTCGGTGAGGTAGTCGGGATTGGCCGTGTGGATCATGGTCAGGTCGGTGAGGAAGGTACCCAAGTAGGGTATCGTGCCATGTGAGGTCTGAGTGCCCAGGTTAAGGATAAGCTTCTGCAGGTGCCGGTCACTCTGATCGCTGCCTGGATCCGGGTTCTTGGCCGTTCCCTCACGCTTTAGCACCTCTCGCAGGGTCCAGGCATTGTTGTCCTCCGAACAAATTCTCGCCAGCTCCGTAAAGACTTCCATCTGGGTAAAAAGATTGGGAAAAGCGTTGAGTAAAGCTGGGTATATAACAAATTACGACAGACTCACCCTCTCTTTGGGCAAAACCTCCCAAATTTTGGAAAGCCTGTAGATGGAATTGGAGTTCAGAGCCGAAATGATGGCCTTGAGCGAGCTAAAGTTCTTGAGCATGCGCAGCTCCTGGGCAATGTCAATCCATCGTGAAATGTTTAGAGCGCGCTCCTAATAAAGATAAATTATTTATATTTAATATTTAATAAACATTACTTGCAAGTTAAAACCCACCTGAGGCTTCAGCCGATCTATCAGGATGCTGGACACCACCCGGAAGAGCACTGCATTGAACTGATTAATGGTGGCCACCACTGTCTCCGATCCACCGCTATCCCTTCGCGCCCACGTGTGTCCGAGACACTGATGGGGTATCAGACGCTTGAACAGCTCCGTGTCCATGCGGGTCAGCTGCTCGGCAAAGTGCCGGACGGGCACGTGGGGAAAGCGGAAGGCCTGCAGAAAATGTGTGGGTCCACGGTAGATGGGTCCATGGCCCATGGGCGAGAGATACAGACCATTAAACTGATCGGTGAGGTCGTACGAGGAGCCATAGTGTGTGGGAATCAGAAACTGTTGCACCGGCTGTGAGCCTGCGGCAGAAAGCCAAGAAAGGCCATTACCCTCCAAGCCACCACCTCCGCCTCCGCCGCCGCCACTGCCATTTCCATAACAAGCCTGGCGAATAAGCCGCTCTAGACGATTCAACACCTTGATGTGCAGGTCGGAGCGTTTCAGTCGCTTGGTGGCAAAGCCCAAGATCTGAAAAAAAATATATATATTAAATTGATATTAAACAACATTTTTATTTTGATTCCCACCTGCTGCAGGTTGTCCTCATGCCAATCCTCTGGAAATCCATCCAGCCACACATGCAGCGCCGAGACTAGCGTTTTCTTGTGCTGCTCATGGATGGAGGCATGCGGATCGTAGGCAGGGTCCATGGATTGGCCACTCTCCTGTGCCTGCTCCAGCTCCTCCAGGTGCTTCTCGTGCAGCGCATCATAGCGCTGCGTCAACAGACTAAGCACCTGCTTTGGCGTGGAGAAGGTGCGGTATGTGGACAGGAACACGTTAATAAACGTCGACTCCAGCTCCCCGTCATCGGTGGCCAAAGCCTCCACCAGACGGGCCAGTGTCGCCGCCTTCACAAAGCGCACTCGCACTGTCTCCCACTCCAAATGGGAGATCTCATCATCAGAGTCCTAGAGGAGAAGAAAAATATATAAATTCAAGGGACATAAAGGCGAGGAATTTTCAATTTAAAAAACTGAACAGCCAACGATGTTATCCGGCTAAGTAATTGATTATAAGAGTTACTTACATTGCTGGCCGTGGGCGTTGGTCGGTGGTAGCGCACCTTCTTCAGGTAGACGGTGAAAATTGCATTCTTCTCGTGCTCTTCGCCCCAAAGGCGCCACGTGGGCTGTGAAATAAGAAAAAACGGAAAGTGGATTAGTCAAAGTGAAGGTGAAATTGACTTTCTAAAACTAAAATGTGTTTGTCTTCTCTCAACTTTGTGTGGAAACTTTATTTAGACAGGGATTAAACTGTAGCCTTAATTTTCATCTAAATGTTAGAAATATTCATTCAACTTAATATATATTTTCCCCATTAATTAAACCAAATATTGTTGTTTATGGTATCTCCAAATTCAATAAATATTTATGGAAAATGGGAAATCTGTGTCAAAGTCAAAGATCACTGCCTATTCAATGGCAATTAAATGTATCATCCATCTAAATTTAGCCGCAATATCCGACGTATTTTAAATTTATTTCCCCTTAATACGAACCCAAGAAATTTTAAATATTCTCAATATAAACAATATGCCATTCGGGGTTTGTGCAAAATGTGTTTTGTGCACGAAAAACTGTTTGTTTTTGTGGAAATTCGGTTGTCGGGCATTTCCATTTCCATTTCCGCTTCGTGTGGCATCTTTGGCAGTGTTAAGGCCCCCAAAACAGCATTTGTTCTTGTCTAGTCTCGGTATTTTAATTGATACATAAATTCTTTGCTAATTTGTTGGATTGTTGGCCCAACCGAATATGTTTCAAAAGAAATGAAAATTAAAATGTTTTTCAAATCGTTCTGGCCTAATTGAAAATGAGAGGCAACATGAAAATTGTGCAAGACGAAATTTATGTAAATGCAAAATCACTTATTAAAAAATGTAAACAGAAAATTTCTTTATAGAGAAAATATTTTTGTTACGAAAAAGTTGGTGATTCAACGCCGCACTTTGTTATGTATTTTAGCAGCAGTTTTCCCAAGGCCCCCGCATTTTCCGTGCGCCCCCCCGGAAAATGCTACACATATTTGCGCTTAATCAACGCCAAAGCATTAAAATTCTAATTAGAAAATCATGCAACCGACAATGGCAGCCAGCGCTGAGCTCTCTTTACAAAATACCTTTTGTGTTTATGTAAAAACTATGTAAATACCGAGCACACAAACGGGCCCACATAAATGCGGCATAAGTGCTTAAATTGAAATTTACTCGCAGCAATGCCAAAAGCGTGAAAAAAGCATTAAACGAGAAGTGAATGAATAAGCATAAGCGGAGCGAGTTGAATAAACGCGCAGCACCAGCAGCCACGAAGGGAATGGCACGCAAAGTTCACGTCGGCGGTATAGGTAAGTGTCTGGTACTTGGATCTGTGTCGGTGATTGGGTGTGCGTGGTGCTGGCGCCCACCAATAATAAACAGAAGCTAAAAGTTACAACAAGCCGTGGATTAGGAAAAGTCCCTATAAAAAGATTTTCTATTGGTCCAACACAGAGAAAAATTAACGTCGCTTATTCTTAACAATTTTTAATTTTACTTTTCTAGAGGAAACATAGCTTAATTTTCAGTATTTGAATTCTATATTATTATATATTTGGTTTATGTTCAATTTTAGCCTGATCGAATAAGCAATAAGGCTACAATTTAGTACTATCTTTGCAGTATTTCAACTTTCCAACCGCCAAAAAGTAGACTAAGATTTTGAGATAGCAAAGTTAAGGGTTATCGTATGGTCGAGGCACATCTTTAATTGTTTTTTTTTTTTTTATTGAAATATATGTGGTTTCAGATAAATAAGCTTTGAAAAATATTTTTTCTATTAAAATAGAAGATCATTTATGTTATTGTAATTTTACAAAAAATATACATTTTATAACAATTTTGCTTTTATTTCCATAGAAATAAGATAATTATAAAGATAGTTTTTGGGCAATAAATAATTTTGTATAAACATTATTCAACAGAAAATCAATGAAAGCGTTAAAAAGTAAACCATATACAAGGTCAAATCCCGTTCTTTGATAATGAAATAATTTCGTCAAGCCAGATTATATTTCTAAAGCTGATTGTGGCATCAAAAGTTCTTTAATTTCAAGTCTCTACATTTTGTGACAATAATCTTCTTTACTGCTCAGAATTCCAATATTCAAACGAGAAGCTTAAAGCACATTTCCAAGAATATGAAATCAATTTTATCAGTGTGTCCGGTTGGACATGAATATTTTATTTATTTTATTTTGTTCTCCCTACAGATAGGGCGACAGCAACAGCAGCAAAGGCACAGCTGACCCCAAATAAGAAACCAACAAGGAATGCGAAAACATAAACATGATTTTATGTGTGGAGGGAAATATAAAAAGGGAGGGCCTAACACACACGCGTACTTGGGGTCATCCATCCTAGACAGAAAGACAGACAGGCAGGCACGAATCTCATGTTGATCCAATTAATTGCCCGCATGCGCTTTGATTACACCAAACAAAAGCGAACGAAATTGCTCAAATGTTTAGTTTACTTCGTTAGCGTTTCGTAAATTTTTTATTAAAGTACTCGTCGCACTCGTTGTACTTTAATATTTCGTAAAAAACATGAAACAACGCCAAGAGAAGCAGGCGTTAAGTGGCGGCAGGCAGCGATTTGTTTCGTGTTTTGTGTAATTGTGCATAAACTTTGGGTCTTTTGGGGGAGATGGATCTGGAAACAGCTGAAACACTTCCCAATGGCCTTGCAAAAATAGAAGACACGATGTGGAAACTGTAGGGGGAGGCCGGCCAAGTGTGGCAATCGAGCGATCCGTTTGCACTTGAAGAAATTTAGACGTCGATTAAGATGTTGCTGGCAACAGAGATGAGAAGAATTCTCACAATAACAACAGCTGGGAAAACGTTTCTTTCTTTTATTATTTCTTTTTTTAAGACAGCTTCCTGCTAAAAATCCATATAAATAAGCAAGAAAATTGCAATTGTTTTTATCTAATTGTGTAGCATGCTTCAACTTAATTGCCGCTTTCTGTTTTATTTTATTATTTTTTCGGCTGGCTGATTTACACACACTTCCCCTTTCCCAATCTATTATACGTTATATACCTACTATATGGTACATATACAATGTGAAGGCAACATTTAATCAATTCCGATTCACGATCATCGGCGCCGGCAGCGACTTTTTCTTAGCGGCATCTGCCAAAAAAAAACTTTTTCCGCCGTTCTTGATTCGCTTTGCGGAATGTACATACATATATTCAAATATACATATGTACGTATCACGTATACGTATTTATTTAATTTATTTGTTATTTATTTGGCATTTTTTGTTCTGTCTTGTTTTTTTTTCTTGGTTAAACACTGATGCCTTATACGCGCTGTTCACTTGCCTTTTTGTTGTTTAATTAATGACGCATTATGGCAGCTCAGTTCGATTCCCCATTTGCGTCAAAAGTGAAGGAAATACTACTATTGCTACTTAAAAATGATTTACAGGCCAATCCTCAGAGCTAAATCAAGTATAAACGGACATTGATTTATGGGATGCAAGTGGACATTTAAATAGGTAAACGCGAGTCACTGAGTCACTGCTCCAGGAGCTCCTGCAAAATGGCAGAAGATTGCCCCTTATCGATGCCGAAATATTATTTATAGAAAATAAAGAACAAGCTATTTATGATAATACAAATAATGCCTTAATTATTATTGGAAAATAATAATAAATATTTAATAAGGGCCTGCTGCTGCTTAAGCCTCTTGTCTTGAATTTTACAAACTTAAAAATGTACTCTTCTATGAAACGACGTTTTTCTCAATGAAACTGCACACCGATAGATGGAAATTGCTTCAACAATTGAGCTACAATTAGTAGTCTATTGCTTTACCTCAGCCTCAAATTCTTGCATGCAACTTAACCAATTAATTAGTGTCAATTAGACAATCAATTGGGTAAACATAATTAAGCCGGATGTGACTCAGGGGACGTGGCTGCAACTCGACAGCCGCCACACACCAAACAAAGCCAAACAACAAGTGCAAAATATAAATGGGAAAGGCAAACATTTTAGAAAATCGAAAAGTTCACTTTTTTGCGTTTCATTCAATGAAATAAATAGTCATAAAAGTGGAAATGTTTGGGCACTTTAATTGTATTCGATAAATGTTTGAATTTATCTCATTTAAATAATATTAAATAAAAACAAAACTAATTTATTAAATATTTGGAAAATAAAAAATATAACTGATAAATAACAAAACAAAATAACAAATACTTAACATTATATCTAACGATTGACTTTTATTTATTTTTCTAAAGCAAAAACTATTTATTCAGACAGAAATTATAGTTAAGCAACTCCTTAAAATACTGTAAATTATTTTTGGAAATTAGAAAACCCACTTAAAATTTACCTTTGTGTAAGTATAGTTTTTGGCGTGCAGGTCCTTGGTCTTCTTGGAGAGATTCCTTAGCGTGGCGCCAGTGCAGGCGCACAGGTACTTAAGGCTGGCAACTACCTTCCGTTCGGCATTGAGCACCGCCGAGGAGACGTCCAGGTCGTCATAGGAGTGATACGAACTGTTCCGGCGTGGCTTGGCAGAGGCAGAGCGGGATCTCCGCTGTTGCTGCTGCTGCTTAGACTGTTGGCACATGTCCACGGGCGGAAGGGGCGTCGAGGACTTTTTCCGCTGCCTGGGACAGGTATGGTGATGGTAGTGCTTCTTCAAGTCCTCCTGCTGCTCCTTCTGCTGATGGTAGGCACAGGAGTGGCTGGAGGTGTTGTTGTTCACCTGGCGCCAGGCGCTGCTAAAGTCCGTGTTGTCCAGCGGCGGCATGAGGGCGCGGTTATAGCCACTGAGATCCTGGAGCTGGTAGGCACAGGTGTGACTCTTGATGAGAGCGGGCTTCTGCTGCTGGTGCTTCTGGCTATGCGGGCATTTGCAGTTGGCTCGACTTGTGAAATTCTGCAAGTTTTTCGTGGGTTAAAACACCAGTTTTTCCTCTAAAAGGGGGCTTCGCTTTGTACTTGATCTTGGTTGCCACGGGCTGAGGTTCATTGATTTGACGAGAGACGACCCTCAACCCACTTGAGCTGTCGTCTCAGTTCGTTCACAGAGCCCCTGACCTTGGATACAATTTGACTCCAAAACGTACACACACAAACCACAATCCACTCGTATTGTTCAGCTGTATTTGATGTTTAAACAACAACAACAATAACAACAGCAATAGAAAATACCCAAAAATAGAAACAAAAAAAAAACAATCAAACAACCCGGCAGACAAACAGACAAAAAGTGAATTTTTGACAAGCAACTTTGTATGTACTTCAAGTGGCGCTCACTCATCTCCTCCATATTTGGCTAAATACGAAGCCCTGGAGCTGAATTTACGGCCACTCGATGCCTAACAATTTTACATTGTGCTAGGCAAGTCGTCGTCGCTGTTCATCCCGTAAACAACATCCCAAGTATGATCATCCCGTACGAGATGCGTTCAACTTTTACCAGGAAGTTATTATAGTTGTTCATGTTGTTTTTGGGGCCACAGTAATTCACGCCTATTGACAGCTGCGCACAGGTTTCGCCAGGAAAGTATCCAGCAAAAGATACTCTAACAAAGGATCAGACAGGCAAATGCACTCAACAGAAATTTACAAAAATATATTATGGCAGAGCAAGCGAACTATTTGGGCTTAAATTAAAATCATAACTTCATCAAATTTAAATCAAAATCTCTAAATTCAATCTCTCTCTGAAGAGTATTTCCATTTCGTCTACCAAAAACCTGAAAACTATTCAATATTTTTGCCTAAATAAATATTTTCTTGTCTTTGTTGTGGTGGAAACTGCGCTGCGTTTTCCTTTTCTCCAGCGGTTTTATGGCATTTTTTCCATCTTTCTCTTTCTCTTACGGCCCAGCCCATTTCATGTTGAGTTTTAGCCATAAATTAGGCCAACTTCAGGCCATTTGGCATCTTTGCCCAATTACTACAGACCGACCTGGCTCCATGGCCAATTACATAACTTGTTTCTGCCCAGATTCGTGTGAAGAGAAATGTCATTTCGGTCGCTAGGTCTTTGAGACAGTTAATCTCGTCTGGGAAATTAATCGTAGAGAGGTCAGAGCTGGTTCATGCGTGAGGAAAGGAGGGAAAAAGGTCGGATCTGGAACGTGCCTCGCGTGGCCAAGTGTATCGAATTGTGGTTATTGATGCCTTGAAATTAAATAACCAAGAAATGCATCGAAGGTCGTTCAATCAAATACGCTACACAAAAATTAAATCGAGCGCAATCAAATAAAACCCATATATAGTATATTCTGAAATGAAGAAAATTGGTCGATAATACAGGCACGTTCAACCCAGTATGCGTCATGCATCCTCCATTGAGAGAAGTCTGGGATTTAGCTTCCCCAAGGCGAAGCCATAAATTAGATGCAATCTGAACAAAGTCGAGCATGAATTGTTTGCGGATTGTGCTTACAAATTTGTGAGATTCATTCCGGTTCGGAGAAGCCTTTTAAGGCGGAAAATGTGCATGTAAATACATAACTTTCTGGTTAAAGTTAAGCGGAATTAAGGGATATTTTATATAGTAAATCATAAAATCTCTTGAGGCTTCGTTTGGGCTTACATTATGTGTGATTTGTTGTTTGTTTGATTAACTAAATTGTAGTTTTAGTTAAAGTAAACCTTTAGTCAACAATTTATGCTTTCATACACTAGCCTCCTCGTTCACCCTGAAGATTGCATTTGAATTATCAATAAATATTCCATTCACCCTGAACTTTAAGCGATAAGACAATATGCTGTCCCATTTCGCAAATGTAAAACAAAGCTTCTTCGAGTGATTAGAATGAATCCTTCGAATACATCAACCCAGTTTGCTTTGGCTGAGTTGCCTTCGCGTCTAATCAATATGCACATACATTGCACTCGATTCGTACCAAGAGCGACTCATTTCATTCACGTATATTATTACAACGATTGCCAAACGAGACACGACAGAAACAGAACCCGACTCTGAGAGGAATTGAAATTTGCATGACTGAGTTTCTGAACGAGTTCGAATGATTCATCAGAAAATACCCGCCACACGGGGGAAATAATATGCATAACGGCGCCAAAAAAAAAACTCATTATAAGTGATGAAATATTATATTATAATATAATAATAATGCCCAAACTGGGGGGAGGCAATTGTCAAACATTTTCGTGTTTGTATATACAAACGCCTCAATTATAAAGAAATAACATCCAAGTACGATGATGAGCCGGCTAATTGGAAGCGGCCCACATCATCTGTCTATATATAGAGCAGGTGACCTTTCCTCCAGAAAATCGCGTGGGTAGAGACTTCTGTTTTCCAGCCGGAGGGGGGCTTTTCTCAATTACAGATCTTGGCAAAAATAGCCAAAAGCCAAAACAAAGGAGAGTCGAACAACTACAGGAAAAAACAACAACAACAACAACATCAAAGCGGATGGCCATTGGTTTTGCATTTCCAATTGGGGTGGAAATATGCTACTTCTGGGCACAGGAAAACAGGTGTGGTTAAAAAAATAGCAGTAATAATATTTAGTAATAAATCTTTAATTATTTTCAGGGAAGGTTATAAAAAATGTTTTATTATATTTATATTCATATTTTCTTTTTTTTTAATTTATTTCTTTAATTTTAATTTATAAAGAATTGTTTAAATAAATCATTTACTATTATTTACTATACAAATAAATATTTTAAATATTATCTATAAAAATTTAACGAATTTTTTACAAGCCCTGCTAGGACATTTATTATTTTGCCCACAACTGTAAAGCACATATAGCTATTTTTACACCGGCAACCCCTGGCACGAGTTTGTGAATTGCAGCAACAGAAGCAGCAGCAGAAAAAAAAACTAAATAAAACATCGCAAAAACCAAATTGAAAAACGCCAAAGAAAAAAGAGACTGAAACTAAACACCACTCGCCCCGCATTCATCTCTGATGTGACTGACTGACTGACTAAATGACTCTGACTGACTGTCAGTTACATGTGACTGCATCCGACGCAGTCAGCTTGACAACATTTGTTGCTCCCCCAATGGCACTGGAAGAATTTTGGGAGCCATTTTCTGTAATATTTGACTCTAATTAATTTATTTAATAGTTTAAGAATGCAGGTTAAGGGCTTATCATTTCTCCAAATATTCGTATAAATTGATAAGAGGATTTATTATGTAAATTTAACAAGTTTTCTAGGTTTTTTTCTAAATATTTTCCCATGATAAATATACAGCAGTATTCAACAAAAAGTATTTCTAAGAAATAATAATTTATTTTCTGTGTACCAATCTCTATCGCTCTCCCTCTTTTGGGGCTATTATCAAACCACATCCGACGGGGCAGTAGCAGCAGCAGCAGCAGCAGCAGCAGAGATGATGTACAAACAATACAAAATATATCAACTTGAACTAAAGCTTGAGCCAGTGAGCATAGCTCGCCACGTAAATTATTTTTATGCATTCCCCACTATCCATCATTCCATCCACTCTCCTCGGAGGAAGAGGCGGAGCCTTTGTTTTGCATACAATGGGCGCGGGTAAATGTTTTGGAGGGGTTCTCCACATAAATGGATGACACACAAAAACAAAAAATGGACCCAGGCACAGCAGCAACTTGAATGATTTATGGCCAGATTTCAAATGGTTCACTAACAAATTAATGCCATTGACAAATAAATTGGGTTTCTTGATAAACTCAGAATGAACTATTCTTATTAAAGGAATATATTGTAAACATTTCTCCCAAAAAACTCCCTACTTATGATTCACCAAATGTAGAGAATGATTACCCAAATTATTTCAGTTAATTATCTGGGCAAAAAAAAACCCCCAAAACCATCAAAATAGATAGGATAATGTGCCTGGTCATGGTTATTCCAGAAATACCTATAAGAAAGCTTTGATTATAACTGATTACCATTCTCGACTTTTATCGATTCCCCCTAATCCTTTCCCATACTCGAGTTTTATTTCTGGACTCCACCAAGGCGTAAAGTTTCCAGGCCATTGGCTTTTACCCGTAAACCTTGTTGACATTTCTTGTGATTTGACACCAAGACATATGTATACTACAGTAATTACTCGTCAAACAGGACCAGATCAAGTACAAAGCGATTCACCACCATTCAGGGCTGAGACAACTTTGGGTAAATAAAAGGTTCGTGATGGGTTCATTGTAGGCGGTATTATCGATGTAGTTGACTTAAGGGCGACATATTGTACATACATAAATATATGTAAATATAACAACGATAAACCACCTACAAGTTGTGGTTATTTTTATGATACTCTTACAGTGGTGATTCAGCTTTTAGAGTAAAGAGTTTCTTTCATAAAGAAATATTTTAGCATCTTGTAAGCATTTTTCCTCTTAAAATCAAAGGATTACTAATGGATATAGCAACTCTATTCTTAGTAAAGCTTCCAAGTTAGAAAGTTATTAAGTAGGAACCACTGTAAGGGCATCACAAGAACCTCCCGATCTCTCTCCTCCTTATCATCCCTGATAATTTACGCCGGGGCTTTACCATTTGAGATTGGCTTTTGTTCCTTGAAAAATATTCTTGAGATTTCCGCTGATGCTGCTTTCCTTTGTTCCTCCTTTAATTTACACGTCTCCTTTAAATGTGTGTTGTGATTTTCCTTCAGTTTTTCTTGCCCAAGTGCAGTTCATTGAAGTGGGCGGTGGTAGGTAGGTAGAGTGTGTGTGTAAGGGCGAGTAAAATCGATATTCCTGCTGCTCTTTTTCTATGGCCGCCTGTCCGCTGCTACCGCTGTGCGGTTCAGCTTCTTCCTGGCCAACGGATGAGTCAGGGAGCTTGGTGGGGTGGTGGTTACTGGCTCACCGATTACTTGGTAAGCGGTGAGTCCTTGGTCCGCGAAGGAAAGTAAAGGTTCGTTGCACTACGTTCAATAGTCTGCGTTTTGGGCTCCTTCTGTGCCCTGCTCCTGACTGGATTACACTTCACAGCGCCTTCCTCACTATTTATTATTTTCACTTTTTATCGCTTTTTCCGTTTTTCCTCTTGTTTCTCTTTTGTTATTGTTGCTTCCGAGGCACTATCTGCACTCGCATAAACACAGAATTTCGGCATCCCGCGTGCATTTTCATTTGCTGTGCTGAAAATCTCAACATGAGATGATACATCCATGTAATTACAAAAACATTGTACAAAAATTCACAATTGGGGGTTTCTCGAGATTTTCGCGCGGCTGGTGGCCCGGGGGGAGTAAGGGGGTAGTAAGACGCGCGCGGGACACACACACAGAGAGACAGAGCTCGAGACACGCGACACAACCACCGCCGACGACTGTCGAAAGCACTCTGTCGAAAGCACTCTGCCCTCGGCACTCAGAACGTACACGACCCAGCGTACTATGGGGCGAATGAACACTTTTTGTGGCAATAACTAAGAACTTTTCATTTTAATTTTATTTCATTTTAAAAACTGAAATATCTATGTATATACAATTCTAAAAATGGAAAGATTTGGACCCACTTTGTAGCTTCATTTTTATTTTAGAATACACTAAAAATGTATATATTTTTTAGGGTTACTAATTACACAAGATTATAGTTATATATATTTAAATTTCGGTATTTAAAACTTGCAAAATAAATAAACGATTTAACAGCGCTTGCTACTCCTGGCAGTTACAGTATATTAACGACTTTTAACATATGTATTTTAGCCATAAAAAATGGTCGTTCGTCCCATAGTGCAGCGGGGCTCGGCGGCCCCACACTCTCTGGCGCTCTCTCTCAGAACGTTGGCTGCCAGGGTTGCTTCAACAGTAGCATCCCCATGTTTGACGAGCTGCTCCAAGCGGACGCTCTCCCAATTACACACTCTCTTTGCTTGTTCTCAGGTATTCTCAGGTTTAGGATCGTGGGAATTTCTAGCACCCACTATGGATTTGATACCCCGTAGTTTTAGCTTAATAGGGCTTACGCGGTTTGAGAGGGTTTATGTAACAGAATATGAAATTGTGATTAATGTAGTAAATGTAAGCTTTATAAATTATGTAAAGAAGAAAAGAAAATGATGTAGAAGAACGCCCTATGCTTTAAAACTTTATAAAAATCGTATAATCTTAGGTATCAACCTTAAAGATTCATAATTCTGGGCTGCCTATTGTTTTTTAAATCCCTGGAAAATATGTCCTTATTTATGCTACAAAATATTGAATATTTTAAAAGAAAATCAAAATGAGAGAATTAGAAGCCTATCTTTGGATTGGTCTTCAGGGTATGATCTTATAGTAGGTCTACGCTTTAAATAATAGATTGTACTTAAAATATATAAAAATACATTAATTTTAAAGGCATACAATTTATTGTGATTTCATTTGAGCAACTCAAAGACTGAGTAATCCGTTGTCGGACACTTAATCAGAACGTTCCCCACTCGGTTCAACTGTTCTCGCTCTGTTTATGTTTTTCTGATGAGCAACTGCGTTGTTTGTTGGATTCTCATCAGAACTCTCTCAGGGGCTCTCACTCCCCAAGTATTCAGTATATTTTCGGTATTATTTTAGGACAACTTCACACTGACCCCAACAATGGACATTTGTTTTCATTATCTTCACGCATTTATCAATGGAATTTATGAGCTTCCCCGTAAAACTTTAAGACCGGTGCCGGGTATTTTCCGAATTTTTGATTAATGCCAGGGAAAAAATTTAAATATTTTTCTTTTTCCTTTTGTTTATATTTTTTTAGGGGGCCCCAAACATGTGAACTGGAATGACATAATTATGCAAATGGGCATACCTGAATACCGTCTGGTATTTGTTATTTGGTAACGACTTAAAAGAAAGCTGGCACGGAAATCAATAAGCGAAAATATTAATAAAACGTGCCTTTACGTAAGCGCCAATCAAATGTTGTCTGAGGCTTTGTTTGTCGTTGGACAAACATTGGACCCCGAAAAGCAAGTCAATTGATCAATTAACGTGAATGCAACATGTCTCAAGACAAAGGGAGCAGCCTGATAAGGCCACATGGGATCGAGATGGAAATTGATAAGTGTTATGCATCAGCCAAGTGATGCTGATGAAGTTGGATAACACAGAAACATGGGAAGTTATCAATTTGGAGGATTATTTAAAAATGGAATCAGTATATGCTATGTGTATTGGGTTTATAAACAAGAGCACTCAAGTATTTCATTCACAACTTATTGTAAGTGAACTAGAATCTTAAGTTCTTCTTGATGCTGATAAGGCGATAAGATAGGTATACTTATCACTGTTATCTTATCTGCGGCAACACTTTAAATTATGTTTAAACTTGACAAATTATTCAAGTACACTTTTCTTAGACATTGACAATGGCAAAGATAATTGAAATATGAATGAAATAAATAGAAGAAAGATAAAACCCGAATTAAAAGATAGATTTGTAATAAGTCAAGAACAAAACTAAATAATAAACCTGGTCTAGTATAAAAAGATGATTTTATTGCAGTCATCTTTTTACAAATGTTTCTTTAGTTCCTAAGTAATCCTTTTATCCATTTTAATTCCAGGCTAAAATCATTAATACAAATTATAGCTTTTTGAGGCCATCAATTTTGATTCATGTTAATCCGGTCTACACAAATATTTAACCAAGCAATTAGCGGTCTTGGCCAAAAATAAAAAAAAGCTTCCACACAAAGTTCGGGCCCTGCGAGATACTTTCAAAATGACTTTCTATGCATTTTCCCCGTTACTTTCTACGCTGACCATGTCCGTATATTGTAAATGTATATAGTATTATATGTACAAGGTAATGGTTTAGCTACTCACCAAACTATCGGCCACATTTTGACTCATTATACTCCGCAACGTTGACGATGGCCAGATGCTGCAATTACTTCAAGGTGCGTGCTGCTCGGACTCGGACACAGATGCGATGCAATTGCTGATGATGATGACTGGTGGTATCTGTCGGATACGGGCATTTTGGCCTGGTCACAGCTAACGACGACGAACGGGGGGAGACTCGAATAGACCCAGAGACACACACACACACACTCACTCGGACACGTGCAGCGCGACTCACTTATTTATTTATTTCTCTTTTTGGGTTGTGCAATTCGCCCGACAAGCGGATGTATCTGCGAGATACGCGACCAAACTTGCAATCGTATCGACACCAATTTCAAGTTTTCTTTTCCATTTCGTTACCGAACTGTAAGAAAGCGACAAAACGTTCAGGTGAAAACCATTTCAGCTCAATGGAAAGTGCGACAGCCGCCGCAGCAGCAGTCAATAAAAGTCCAAAACAGAAAAAATAGAGCTAACTACTATTATAAACCGAACCGAACCGAAGCCGCGCACATTGCTGGAATTCCAGGGGCTTAGAAGCCAAGACCAAGCGGAGACCAAGCGCCATCAACTGGCGAGCAACAACTAAACTGCTGTGGAGCTCTATGGCTACTGGGGTAAGAAAGACACAAATGAATGCGGTTTGAACGTGGCGCGTAACTGATTTACGATATTCGGCTGCGATATGGCAGGGTTACAGTGGTTTGTATTGCGCAAAATTGAGGTAAATTTATAACTGCATGTAGGGCTTATGGAAAAATAATGGGGAGAGAGTGAGAGACCACCCAAAAATGCAATCTAAGGAGAATGCTTGTAATTCAGATCTTTAATAGCATTATTTTTGGAAAAAAAAATTTACGATATTACTAATTTTATAGTGGTTATCAAATTGTTTTATAAAAACCTCTAAAAAATATATACCTGAAACAGGGCACTGTATTTGATCTATTATTCAACGGAAATTTTAAATATTTTTTTTAATTAATTAATTAATTTAATTTTTTCGGAACCCCTACCATTCTTGACATTTCCTCGATTCATCTAGAATTTATATAATGGTTTTTATTATGTGTCTATTTTTTTTATTACTAATTTTACCATTTCTACTTAAGCTTTGAACCGACCTTCAACTTAAATAATGTTTTTAATTATTTGTTTTGGCCATTAAATGGGTAGAACACCCCTCCACGCCACACTGTGGCGATCTATGCAAATGACAGCCACTGCGAAGTTGACAGCACCTAATGATGGATTTCTTTTTTACGACCCGTAATCGCTGTTACCTCTTAGAGCAGGAAAGCAAATAGCAGCCTTGTCTCAAAAAATATTTAAGAAACGCAAAACAAAACATTAATGAAAGTTTTTTCTTTCAGCACTGAAGTTGTTTTTGATAGTTTATGGCTCTACCTGGGCTCGCATTCGATCGCTGGGCTTGGTATGTGTTCTGCATAGCCCGCTTGGGCACACATGAAAAAATGCGGAAAATGTTTGGACAGACAATACCTGGGCCACAAAACAAAGAAAGAAAACAAAACAAACGAAGAACAGGTAGACGAATATCGACGGTATTTAGAGGCTTGCCAAACTCAAAGAGAGAATTCAGAGAATTATGGAGAATCTGAATGAGAATTATTTAATGAGATAGAGAGGCCTGGAGAGAGCACATGGTGGTCAATCAGGTGGTTTGGAGTTAAAAAACTGAGGTGAGCGAATATCGTAAGCTGAGTTTATTCAATTATTGGGATGTTAAAACTTTAAAAAGGATTTCTTATAAATGCTCTTCAGGTATTTAAAACTTTAAATATTCAAATTCTAAGAATGCTCAGAGAATCTCATTACCATTAAAATATTTTTCAAGATCAACCATTAATATGCTTAATTTCTAAGTAGAAATACATCTTCATTCAAAGCGAGCTTAAGATTCACATTTGAGTGTCATTAGGGGCAGGTTTGTTTGGCCAAATACAAAACAAAACTTGAACAATCATCAACCTTGATTATCTTGAGCTTCGAATGACCCTTTTCAAAGCCCCAGCTCAAGCAGAAGACGCACACAGAAAGAATTGTATTTTAAAACAGAATTAATATTAAAATATTCATATATGTGTGAATCCCTAAAAGATAATTACCTATTTAATGAGGAAGTAAAGCAATTTAGAATTTGAGAAGTACTTATGCATTACGAATATTACGAGAAATTTAATAAAGAACTTTATTTAAAAGAGATCTTTTTAAAAAATTATATTGTTAAAGTATTCAAATAGCTAATCAAACACCTAAATTTTTTTTGTGCTTATTTAATACATATTCTATATTGTCAGCTAAAAGATATTCGTATTTTTTACAGATCAGCCTTGCAAATAGTTTTGAAAATTAAATTGCTAATAAAAACTTATAAAAACGATATTCATTTTAATGAACACTTAATACAACATGTTTATATACAAATTGTAAACTAAATAAGAATCCAAATATCATATCTATAAGCAGTTGAAACTATTACTGATCACATTTTAAATAGCATTACTATAGCATTATTTTTTGCTGTGCAGCATTAGGCTTAATGCCCAGCTGAGCTCTTAATTATAAGCTGCGAATCCCTAGCCCTCTTTATAAAGTCTTAGCCTTAGCTCAGTCTCTGTCTTAGTCTCTCCCCCTAGTTAGTTCTAAGAACTATAAGACATCATCAATTCATTAGCATTTTTAACAAGATTTAAACAAAAGTTAAGGCAAGCTGCTCGACGTCAGCGATTCTCTCGTTGAGCGCGATCGCTCTCTCTTTTCTGATTTTTTGTTCTGTCAGCTTCTGGGGCGAGCTTTTTGCGAAATTTGTGTCTGTTTTTTGTTCGAATAGCGTTTTTTGCTTTCTGTTTTTTGTTCTTTTTATTGTTGCTTACACCTCCACACAGCTGAGCTGGGTTCCATAAACGATATTAAAATATTTATATATGTCCCGGTGATATATGGGCTACTCATTGTTGTTGCTGCTGGGCCATATTTACAAATTTGTATTTATTTTTTGGCCTGGCTTAAAACTTAGTCAATTCTCTCACTCTCTTTCTACCACTTTTGCTCTCTTTTCCTGTTTTCTCTCTGCCTCTCTCTCTCAAGCGATTGCAATCATGATCTCACTCAGTTTTTCGCTTTACGATATCAAATTGCTTTATTAGCCAAAAAAAAATAATAAACGAAGAAAAAACAGGCCAAAACGGAGTCGTTGTTAAAATCTTTTTATATTCTTAGTTTTTTTGTTTTTCTCTGCTATTATTGTTCGATTCCATTTCAGTGATTTCTTCTTTGTCACTTTAACACTCGTTTCGGACGTGTTTTTCGGCGGTAACACGCAAGCAGCTCTATAAACTGCCAGCTTTTTGATACCAATTTATCTTTAGTTTGATTTTTAGCTGCCGTTTTTAATGTTGTGGAAAATTCCGTTCTTTTAACATGAGTTTTAAGAAGATTATGTTATGTTTACTTCATTTTTAAAAGATTTATAAAGTGTATTGACAACTGTTACCTTTAAAGATACATAGATACTTTTCTAGATTTTTTAAGCTTTTGAAGGAAATATTTAGTAAAGTCGTGTTCTTGTTTGATTTTGATTTAGTTTTTATGCTTATTTTATTGATTTATTTTTAAACAAATTATATTAATGGGATTGAAGTCTTTTTTACTTTTTAAAAAGCAATCTTTTGTTTTAAAGCTTTTAAAACATATTAAGAACAGCTTTTTGGCCACTCTTTTCACCGATTTTCATTGTTCACTCCCGTTGTATTCGTCTTGACAACTTCACAATTTTCTAGTTATTTTTTATACAATTTTTTTGCGGGCGGTCGCCGTCTCTCTTGGGCCAACAACTCAAAAAAACACGTTGCAATTGGCAACTGGTTTACAGCTATGCAACGGCAAACACTCACACACTCGCGGATGTATACAAACACCTGTGAGCGTCTAGGTAGACACACCAACACCAAAGCAAACAAATGTTGCAGGTGTGTAAATGCCAATTTTTTTTTGTTTCGTGGAGTTTATCTCTTCACTGGTGCAATGTATTATTAACTTTTTTTGTTACCACTTTTACATCTATATATATATTTTTTCGTGTAATTTGCGCAATTAATTGTAATTACTTGATTGGGCATTTTCGATAGGGATTCCCGCTCTGTATACCTTTTAGATTTTCATGCTGCTGGACGGATGATGGTTGTTGCCACTTTTGTGCACCTTTTTTTCACACACAAACTCGAAACAGAAAATGCCATTAATGATACTATGACGATGTGGTTGTTGTTGTTGTTGTCTTGAGCACTTGGAAATTTTCGTTACGCTTTGGCAGACATTACGAGCCACGCTCCGCATCCGCCGACCTCCTCTATCCGCATCCGTAATCCGCACTCAGCGCGCCCCTTCTACGATATACGATGGCTATATTGTTGTTGTGGGGATCTCGGATCGGGAATCGGAAGCCCGGTACGAACTCGTCTATCTTTGGTTACACGTAGTTTGCGACTGATGTGAGCGAAAAAAAACTCACAACTGAAGCTGGTTTCAATGCTGCCGAGGTGTCTTCTGGCCAGGCCAACACAGAGAGAGAGAGAGTATTGAGCGAACAAAGGTGAGAGAGAGAGAGTGGAAGAAGAGATACTGCCAGATATCGGCTACTGAGCTCAGATTTTATTTTTTACCAAACGATATTTAGCTTTGGAAGCAACGGTCTAGCGAATATCGTAAGCGAATGAAGCAAAAGGTACGGCTGAATAAGTGATAAATCAGTGATAAAAGGTAAGAAATAACTAAGATTACGTATCTATGATTAGTAAGTATTGTCATACCTATTTTGATACAATTTAAAACTAAAAGGAACTGTAAAATGGAGTCCCTCGACCACAGAATATCCGTTTCTTAAACGTGGCATACTTTTGGGCAATTTCCGTTCTCTATGAAATACAATATACAAAATATAAAAAATATATAAACTAATTAAATTATAAATACAAAACATAAAAAAAAATGATATAAATCTGTAAAAATATAGAATATACTTGTAATATAAACTTCTAAAGCTTTACAGCAACTAGATTCCCTGATTCTCAAAAAAAAATTGACCAAACCCTACGATTGATGAACCATTAAGTAACTAAATATAGATTTAAGACAAAGTCATTACCTATTATTTATTTAAGAAAATATTTATATTTACATTCAGTGCTTACTCTTCTTTTTCTTCGTCTTGTGCTTGGGTCGGTCGCTCTTTTTTGACTTTTTCTTGCTTTTCAGTTTGGATTTCTTCGACTTTTTCGATGTGGAATTCTTGTGGGATTTCTTTGCCTTGCTGGACTTGGATCTCTTGGCCTTGCTTACCGCAGAGGAGTCGGAGGAGGATGAGGAAGAGTCATCACTGGAACTATCTTCGCTATCCTCGCTGCTGGAGATTACCTTTTTCTCCACCCACTTTTCAGCTTTTCGTTTTTTCGGAGCATGCTGCTGCCAAAGCTGCTGAAGCTTGGCATCTATGCTGGCCTCCGCTTGATCCTCTGGTGGCACCGGCTTCTGAGGCGCTGCTTCTGGCAGTTTTGGGCCGTACACTTCCTCAGGCGGCACTTCGGCCAGTTCCTTGTCGTTTCTCAGGCGCTCTTCGCGGGATTTAAATGAGATTTTCATCTTGTTTCCCTCAATGGGAGCAAACTTGGGCGGGGCGGCCGCCTCCTTGGGTGCCTGCTTATCGGCAGGCTTGAAGAAGTCCGCAAATATTCCTCTGGGTGGCGAAGTGTTCCTCAGTACATTGACAGCTGCTGCTGAAGTGGAGGCGCTGGAAGGCAGACCGAGCTCCTCCTGCAGGGCAGCCAGCTTATCCTGAACAGGATTTGTAAGAGCAGCCTTGACTGTCTCCTCTTCTTCGTCACTGTCATCGAAGATGCTTTTGAACAGTTCAACCTTCTCGGAAATGGGTTTATTTCGTGACTCGTCTACTGCCTGTTCCAACGGCGTCTTGGGCACAAAAGTGGACTTGACTGGCTCCACCTCCTTTTGTGGAGGTTTCTCCTGTTCAAGAACTGCCGCAGGTGGAGCGGGAGCTGGTTTCTCCGCCTCCTTAGGCTTTGGTTTCTCTATGTGCTTGGGTATAATCGTGGGAGTTTGGAAGTTGGCCTTGGTATTTACAGAAGTCTCGAGGTAGTCGAAAACGGAAATCTTAGGCTTCGCCTTGAGCTCCTTTTCCGGCTCCAGAAGGTCACCGCCAAAGGGTTCCGCGATATTGTAACGCTTGCAGAGCAATGAGGCTGGTTTCCACATGGTTTTCGTTCGCTCCATCACAACCGTCCGCTCTTCCGGTGCCTTTTGCTGCTCCTTGACCTGCTCGGCCTGAACAGTGGCCTCCGAAACGAATCGATCGTTCATGAGGCCATCCAAAGGTCGATAAATTTTGGCTGCCTGAATGAATTCCTTCTTTTCCATCTCGCGATCCCATTCGGAGAGTGTGACAGGCTGCAGGGTGGCCAAGAATTCAGTTATTGCTGCGTCGTCTTTTAAGTTGGCGGCCACAAACTTATCATAGCGGAGCTGTTTAGCCTCGTCCGCCAGGAAGGGCTTGAAGGTGCCGGAGGATAAAGCAGGGCTAACTAAATCCTTGGTCTTCAGAGCAGCTTTCTCTTGTACGACCGCATTGGTTTCCCTCACCTCCTTAGCCATTTCGGTGGCTTGCTCCTCGCCACTCTCAGTGATAACGCCGCCCTTTGTAAAGCCCTCTGTTCTGGCATTGATTCGTTCTAGCAGGGATTTACCGCGATCCTTGAAGGGATTACCCTTGGGTGGCTCTTCCTCTCGCTTTTCTTCGGCTTTCTGCTCGCCCAGCAGTCGTGCCCGCTGGTCAGGATTAAGATCATGCCTGCCAAGTCCTGTGCGCTTGTACTCTGTGTTTGTCTCCAATTTTCTAGCCTGTTCCTTGTCCATGGGAGCAAAGCGACTCTTTCGCTGCATCCAGTTTCTGGGTTGAAAGTCACGAGGAAGATCTATGGAGTAAGGCTTCTGGAGAGCTGCCCCGGACTTGTCCTCGCTGAAGCCCTCGATGACGTGGCGCTCCTGGACGTGTTGCTGCTTCTTCTGCTTGGGTTTCTTGTCCGCCAGCGAGAAGTCATAGCGGGTCATGTCGTCGCGGGCGTAGATGTCATCATCCTCTTCTTCGAAAGCCCCCACTCCAAAGGCCTGACCTCGAATGGAGAGCTGCTTGCTCCTGGCCTTGGCCTCCAGCTGCCCAAAGAGATTGATGTGCTGCATGGGCGTGGCAGAGCTGGATGAGGAGGATTTGGAGAGGATAGGATCGCGACTAAGGCCGGAGTAGCTCATGCCGAAGCGATTCTCTTTAGGAGTGTAGAAGATGGGCTCGTAGTCATCCGGGGCAAAGGTTATGTCCTCATCGTCTTCGTCGTCGTCCCCCTCATCGCCGCCGCTGCTGTGACCCTCATTTGTAACCGACTTCGAGGGCAATCCCTCGGCACCATAGTGCTCTAGGAGATACTGTTCCCTTTGGTTTCGCGCGGTAGCCAGACGCTTCTCCATCCGGGTTTGCCGCGGACCCACTCCCTGACCAGGCTTCCAGCCCATGCTCTTGAGTATCCGCACAGCCACTTTGTCGCGCACCGGGCGCAACAGCTGCTCCAGCACTGGCATCCCAGGAATAGGCCCCACAAGCTCCGGCTGCATTAGCTTCCTGCGCCGCTGACCGGAACGCTGTTCTTGCTCATCCTCCTTGGCGAACTCGTCGCGGGTGCGCACACCCTGGGGAGCAATACCAAACTCACCCAGGTCCTCCTTGTCCATGAAATCCTCCGGCTTTTGCAGGGCCCTTGGAGTAGCCTTCTCCGCACGCGAACTCTTGAATGTCTGCGGTGTCCAGCCCTCGAGGGAGCCCACGGTGTTCCAGAAACCGGCGCTGAAGCCGCCGGTGAAGGCGCCGTGGAATCGCCGCTTACCATTCTCGTCCTTGACGATTTGATCCTCGATAGCCACCGGCTTCTTGGCGGGCACCTCATCTGATATTGGCATTTTAAAGGGTTATTTCACCTGATCTTGTTTAGCGGGCTATACTTACCCTTCTCCAGCGGCTCCAGGGGAGTGCCAAAACGATGCAGATGCTCTTCTTCGTCCATTTTCGTTGAAAAACTAAGGAACTTCCATAAGTTTGCGAAATTTGTTTGGTCTGGCCACCAGTGTGTACACACCGATAAATTAAACAGCAAACAGCTGATGAGTGTGACCTCTCTAACTAGGAGTTTTAGCGAAAAAGCCCTGCGGGCACACTGCACTTTCTAAGCATTTTGCAAATTTATTAGAAAAACGATTTTTATTGCAATTTTAAGCTGTCTGACAAAGAAGAACGGCGCAAATGGTAAGCTTGGCAGCGGAAACAAAGAAAAGGCCCTCCGCTCTCTAAGGAAAGTGGGGGGAACAGCAGCGGGTTCTGCGGAGACACCTGGGGCTAGTCGTCGTCTGTGTGGGTGACTAATGATGTCAACATTTTCTGTTTTCTCTCCCAAGCCGACGTCCATTTTTTGCTAGCCGAGACGCGACTGTTGTTGTTGGCCAACGAAGAAGAGCAAGTGCAGCGGAGCAGACAGCATTCATTTGAGTCACTCACACCAGCACCTGCATTCTCATCCGCATCCTGGCCACCTGACACTCACATAGCGCACAGTAAAAGCTAGACAAGAGCGAGATGTCCGAGAAGAACCTCAAGGTGGGCGCCCGCGTCGAGCTGACCGGCAAGGATCTGCTTGGCACGGTGGCCTACGTGGGCATGACCAGCTTCGCCGTCGGCAAGTGGGTTGGTGTCGTGCTGGACGAGCCGAAGGGCAAGAACAGCGGCTCGATCAAGGGCCAGCAGTACTTCCAGTGCGCGGAGAACTGCGGCATGTTTGTGCGGCCCACGCAGCTGCGTCTGCTCGAGCCGGCACCCGGCAGCTCTACGCCCGGCTCGGCCGGCGGCTCTGGCAGCAGGCGCAGTGTCGAGGACATTAGCGGGCCCGCGGCCACGCCCACGACAGCCCAACCCACAAAGGCGCGGCTGAGCAGCTCGCGCACCTCGCTCTCCTCCAGCCGCCAGTCGCTATTGGGCTCGCGCTCTCAGCTCACCGGCTCCAGCAGCAGCATTGGGCCCAGGAAGAGCCTGGCTCCGCAGAATAGCAAGGACAAGGAGGCTTCCAGCACCTCCTCGCTGGCGGAGGCAGCCGCCGCCGGAGCCGGCTCCAAGCGGGCCTCGTTCGTGGAGACGGGCTTCCTGGAGATCCTTAAGCCGCAGTTTACTCCCTCGCAGCCGCTGCGCTCGCCCTCCTTCACCATGCCGACAAACACCGGAAGTGAGGACAAGACCGCTTTGCTGGAGGCCCAAAAGACGAGTGCCGAACTTCAAACCCAGCTGGCAGATCTCACCGAGAAACTGGAGACCCTCAAGCAGCGCCGGAACGAGGACAAGGAGAGACTGCGCGAGTTCGACAAGATGAAGATCCAGTTTGAGCAGCTGCAAGAGTTCCGCACCAAGATCATGGCGGCGCAGGCTTCGTTGCAAAAGGAACTGCAGCGAGCCAAGCAGGAGGCCAAGGATGCCATAGAGGCCAAGGAGCAGCATGCACAGGAGATGGCCGATCTGGCGGACAACGTGGAGATGATCACGCTGGACAAGGAGATGGCCGAGGAGAAGGCCGACACCCTGCAGCTGGAGCTGGAGTCATCCAAGGAGCGTATTGAGGAGCTGCAGGTGGATCTGGAGCTCCTGCGTTCCGAGATGCAAAACAAGGCCGAGGCAAGCATAGGAAATATATCCGGAGATGGTGAATCCCCCGGCTTGTCCACCTACGAGTTCAAGCAGCTGGAGCAGCAAAATATCCGCCTGAAGGAGACCCTAGTGCGGCTCAGGGATTTGTCTGCTCACGACAAGCATGACATCCAGAAGCTTACCAAGGAGCTGGAGATGAAGCGATCGGAGGTGGCCGAACTGGAGCGCACCAAGGAGAAGCTGAGCGCCAAGATCGATGAGATGGAGGCCATAGTGGCCGACTTGCAGGTGAGTCTTTTGGGATCAATTTTCGCTTTAGAATCTAAGCACTGCCCTCCGCCTTTAATTGGCTTTAGTCTTCACTAGACACTCGTCTTTTTTTCACGGCTAGACACGCACCCAAAGCTTTAAATTTTTTGATTTGGCTCATTTTTGCTTTCGCTACTTGGCTGCTTCGCTGTTTTTTCATTAAAAAATTGAAATATTAGCTATAAATCAGGACAAAAGGTTTATATTAATTCGATTTTTGAATCTTTATTAGATAATAATTAAAAATTCGTGAATTTTAAAAGTAAAAAGTCTCTTTATTATTATTATGGGGACCAGAAAGCCATTATAGATTGAAAACCTTAAAGCTAGGGCCAAATTGTAAACACTTTACAGCATTTATAAGGCATTTAGTATATATATATATGGATTTAAACCATATTTCTTATTGTATCAAGCTTTCTTCAGGTAATATTACAGCAGCTAGAAGCATTGTTTAAATTTAAAGTTTTAGATTGAAATTTATATGTTTAAAGTAAACGATCTAATCACAAATAATTATTATTATTTCGCTTGCTTCATAGTATTTTAATAAATTAAATTAATAAATATTCTAAAACTGTTGTATTAAATAAGAAAGAAACCCTTATTTTATAATTTGTATTATACAAATTATAAGTAAAATCATTAGCCCAAGTCCAGCATATATTCAATGTACTTTGCCTTATAGTTCTCACTCTCTTAGCTTTTCTAAGCCACTTTCTTCTATTTTGTAAATTGTGTGTTTTATATATATTTTACGCTGATGGTCAAAATCTAAAGTAAAACGTTTTTTCATTGCCTTTCTTTTTGCCGGCCTGCCTGCCTTAAAACTTAATTAAACCAAGGAGGTAAATTTCTGTACATTTTTCCCCAGCGAACATTTTCCAAATTCTTTCCTCAACCGAAGTTTTGCATTTAAAATTCCATAAAACAAATAAATAATAAATTCCCATTCGAACAGGAACAAGTCGATGCAGCACTGGGAGCCGAGGAAATGGTGGAGCAACTGGCCGAAAAGAAAATGGAGCTGGAGGACAAGGTAAAGCTGCTGGAGGAAGAGATTGCCCAGCTGGAGGCTCTGGAGGAGGTGCACGAGCAGCTGGTGGAGAGCAATCACGAATTGGAGCTGGATTTGCGCGAGGAATTGGACCTGGCCAATGGAGCCAAGAAGGAGGTGCTGCGGGAACGCGATGCGGCCATAGAGACCATCTATGATCGCGACCAGACCATCACCAAGTTCAGGGAGCTCGTGCAGAAGCTCAACGACCAACTGACCGAGATGCGGGAGCGCACTTCCGGCAACGAAAAGGAATCCCTGCAGGATCCCAGCCTGAAACTGGCCACCGAGACCATTGACTACAAGCAAATGTTTGCCGAATCCAAGGCCTACACCCGGGCCATTGACGTCCAGCTGCGCCAGATCGAGCTGAGCCAGGCCAACGAGCATGTCCAGATGCTCGCGGCCTTCATGCCGGAGTCGTTCATGAGTCGCGGTGGCGACCACGACTCCATTCTGGTGGTGCTGCTCATCTCCCGCATTGTTTTCAAGTGCGGCATTGTGGTGTCGCAGACAAGGGAACGCTTCCCAGCCGTGGAGACTGTCACCAGGGAGGCCGTTACCCAAGGCCATGCCGTCCAGCAGTATGCCTTCAAGTGCCGTCTCCTGCACTACGTTCATAGCCTCCAGTGTGCCCTGCACCAGATCCTCTATGGCCTGAACAGCTGCCAACCGGACACTCTGCTGAGAGCTGGCAGCTCTCTACCAGAGATGGTGGCCCAGGAGAAGATAGTCGACGGCATCATCGAGCTGCTAAAGTCCAACCAACTGGACGAGAACAGCACCACGGACAACATTGAGAAGTGTGTGGCCTTCTTCAATGCCATGAACTCGGTGCTCTTGGCTGGCGAGCAACTTCTGAACGAGATCCAAATGATCCGCGACTGTGTGGCTTCTCTGGGAGCTGCCTGCGAGAGCATTCTCAGCGACACGGCCATTGCCAAGGCCATCATTCAAGAGGCAGGCGCCACCAGTGACTCGGTGCTGCTCATTCAGTTCCTCAACGAGAACATGGAAAGCGTGCGCCAGCAGGTGAAGCTAATCAAGCGCCGCCTGCCCAGCGATCAGCATGTGGTCAAGAGCGGTCTATCGGAGCACAAGGTGGAGGCCATGCGTGCCCTGGCCCAGAACATTAGCAGGATTATGTCGGCCATGCATCAGGCCACCCGCCAGTCGCTGGCTGCCATTGTGGCCACCATCGAAAGCGACAATGCGGCGGAGCACACGCTGCCGCAGGATAAGTACTGGTCTCTGTTGTCCTCCGCCTGCGAGAGGATTTACGAGCAGGATGACCGCGGACCCACGCACAACTTCAAGACCCTACTGACACAGGCCAACTCGGACCTGCAGCACATTGCCCAGCATTTGCTGGACAAGGAATACGAGATTATGTCGACGGCCAACACAGCCGCAGGACAACAGCGTTCCGGGGCCCAAAGCACACCCATTACACAGCGTGCCCAGCTCATCAAGAAGCAGCTGGAGCAGAAGAACGTGCTGGCCGCCACGCTGGAGAATCGCGAGGCGGACATCAAGCAACTGAAGCTGGCCGCCAAGATGAAACAAAACGAGCTGAGCGAGATGCAGATACGCAAGGATCTCGCCGAGAAGAAGCTGAGCGTGCTGCAAAGCGAGTACGAGCACGCGGCGGACAAGTGGAAGCAGCAGTTCGAGGAGACGCGCCAGCAGCTGCAGCTCAAGGAGAAGGAGTTCGAGGAGACCATGGACCACCTGCAGAGCGACATCGATGCCCTGGAGAGCGAGAAGAGCGATCTGCGCGACAAGTTGAAGCTCAACACAAGCACTGGGAAGAACCAGTCCATCTCGGATACCCACTCCCCGCACAATCTGTCTGCCACTGGTTCCACATCAGGCGCCCAAGGCAGCACCAATACCAGCTACACGGCGCCGGCCGGCACTGCTCCCGTGGTGGCAGAGGAGGTGCAACTCCTGAAGAACGCCTTCAACCAGGAGCGCAACGAGCGTCTGCGCCTGCAGGCCCAGGATATGCGCGCCAAGCTGTCGCAGTTCGAGCCCCTGTATGTGCCCCAGCCGCAGGATCAGCGCA